AATGTATACATAATATTTAAAAAATTTAAAAATATATACAGTATGTTAGAAATATTACTATTTAAATAATATTATTTTACTATTATAATATTATTATTTAAAAATAATTTTTCAATATTTAAATCTATTATTCACAAATTCTATGCATTCTCTACGAAGCGAATGATTCAACATAAAGTATGAATAATATTAAAAATTTATAAATGACGATTACTTTTTTTTTTTTTTATTTTATTTTAACACGTTTTCATTTTAAATGCTATAATAGCATTGAAAAAATACTATTTGATATATTGTAACGGGTATTGGTTTTTAAAAATAATTATTTGTAATTGATTAAACGATTCTTCAAATTATTAATTATAAAATAAATAATATTTATTTGATTAAATAGTGGATTGAATATTTTTTCCCACATTTGTCTCTGATTTTTTTTATTAAAGTTGGACAATAATACGATATTGTATTTTAAATTTTATTTTCATAAGTAGGCCAACAATTATGTCAATATATCTAAAACTAAAAGTATATGAATCTCAGCTTTTAGGTAGAAATTGTTATGTATATATATATATATATATATATATATATATAGAGAGAGAGAGAGAGAGAGAGAGAAAAAAGTGTATGTAATTACGGAAGGAATACTTTTACTTTCTTAGCTTATCAATTTCTTAATCATTATTGAGCTGCCATTATCAAAAACGTATAGTAATTAATCTGAAAAACAATAATTTTATTGAAGTATAGTTGAAATGTTATGCATCTGCTAGTCGCAGAAGAGGGAAGATTTTCAAAAAAAGAGGCATTGGTTGTTTGCAAGAAGAAAGGACGAGGATTTACCGAAAACGAGGCAAATCATAGGAATGGAAAGGAACTCGTTGAGAAGTGGACAAATGGTACTCGGGGAATAAACACAGAGTGTGCAGCTTGCAACACTCTAAGGATACCGTCACGAGACAAGAGCGCACGTCACAGCTACTCAGAGAAAGTGTTGTCCTACTTTGTTGAATTACACTTGCACTTACGTCGAGGCCGTCGCGACAGGCCTTTATGTAACTATTAGTCGTTTAGTCCCGTGCAGTGCCAGGGAGAGCATCTTTTGTCGCTGTCTTACTTGTCTCTTTTTCTTAACCTTTCCCTCCCTCCCTCTCATTACGTGTCCTGCTGTTCCATCCTTTTATTTTTGTCGAGCTTAAATAATCCGCTATAATTTTCTTTACACTTGCTCTCTTCCACATTTTCATATTTTACAAGCAAAGACCAAGTTGCATAATTCAACCGTCTCGTTCCTTGCAGCGTGTTTTTTTTTTTTTTTTTTTTTTTTTATCACCGATGTTTCACTACCATTTAATTTTATAATTCATTTTACCTTTCATTTAAAAATTTAGATATTCTCTCCATACAAAAATTTACTCTTTATTTTATTGTAAAAATATTTTTATGACTTATTGCTTTAAATAATCGAGACGTATTTTAAATAATTGTTTCTTACTGCTAATCACATTTGGATTGTATAATTCAATTTAAAATCTCAAAAGACTATATTCATATTGACGATCATTCAATAAAAAAAACAGTTGGGTAAGGTCTGACGCATGTATAGGCATGTATGTACGCGCGCGCGCGTGCCCACATCTATGTCTCGATTGTAACAATTTATATCATTTAATTTTATATTTAAAATTATTTAATTCTTATTTTAAATAATTAAATAATTCTATTGGCATAAGTATTGATATTCTGGGAAACATTGAAACGAAATGTTAAACAAAGGATTATAAATTGATATATTTGTGTTTCTATTATCCTAATGCTACGATTTCAACTGATAAATAAAATTTATAGTTTTATAAACGATCGTATAAGCAACTTGTAATACATAGTACAAGTTTATTATTATGATTGATTCAAAGAAAACTATTTAAGTACAAATACAACCAATGCATTCATATAAGAAACCATTGAATAAAGAAATAATAATAAATATAAATTAGATTTGGAATTAAATTTTGTGTTATTTTGTATTATTATATTATTATCAATATTTTTAACAATTTATATTAATGGATCATACTTGTCGAATTGAAAATGCTGTATTGAAATAGTACAATTATTGTCTTAATGCACTTCAATCGATTATTTTATATTTTAAATGTAAATTATAAAAATAAATATATAATTTTCTGCTTGTTTTATTCAAACGTTAATATTAAAAATAGGAAATGTAAAAGAGATCATGCAAAGAAAACCATGAGCTCATGATAGAAAATCTAATAGGCGCGGCAAGTTTAACGAGATATAATTAAATCAAAACTTCTGAGTAATGACAACGTTTACATAGATTTGTTTATAAAATGAATATGAATGAATTACGGATATTCGTTTCTCTATTTGTGCTGCATGTGGATGTATGGAATTAATGGAACAGTGCAGAGTTTTTTAACCTGGAAAACACGACGCGAAGACGACCCCCGCGGAGACTATTTTTGTAACGCCCCACCAATGGTGTTTGCACGTAAGGAAAAGAAAGACGAGGGAGAAATGCTGTTAGATAGATGTGTAAGGAGACTACGCAATGGAAACTTACGATTTTTAAGGGATTTTTAAGGGATTTTTAAATAAAAATCTCGTCTCCTGATTCAGTTAGATAGATATTTTCAGTACTTCAGATTCAGCTGTTGTTATTATTACACAGATTTCCCCCCATTGAAATACGTAGCCCTCCCCCTTCCCCCTGTAAAATAATATAAAACATTCAATTTTTAAAAGGTAAATAAATGCATTAATAATTATATTTCAAGTTTGCTGTTTCGTAGTTGTGTTTAAATAATTTTAAATTTAATGTTTAATTTTTTTTTTTGCGAACTATCAATTAGTTTTTATTTAAGCAGATCTAAAACTTCAGAATCCGATTAACACAATTTGTATTGCTATTATTTCTAGTGTGAAATATTTATATTAGATTAATGCATATTAAATATTATCTGGAATTTGTTAATCTTAGACTATATACCATTAATAACAAGAAATTTAACTTTCTGTCATTTTAGAATACACAAAATATTTTCTTACTTTTAATAAATAAATATATATATATATATATATATATATATATATATATATAATATGTTTAATGTAATAAAAAATTTTATTGAATTAATTTTTTAATTATAATTTGAATAAATAGCATATAACAATAACTAATAAAGTTCATTCAATTATTGCAATTTTTTATATTTAAAAGTAAAAAGGTATATTCACATTATAACTTGTCTGTACTTATTAATATCATACATTTAGTTTAGTTTATTTGTTATAGTTTATATACATAATGAAAATCCTTTTATTGATTGTGAATTTGAATAAATTCCTGAAATAAAAGTAGTACTTATTCATTTATTATGTATTCATTATTATTTATCAATTCAAATTCAATTTTATATATTAGGAAAGGTTATAAGAATTTGAAAACTTTATTAAAAATTAATTTTCTAATGTATTTACATTTATGAAAATTTGTTTATAAATCTCAAAAAAATTGAATAAACATAACTATTAATTAAAATTTTCTTTATTAAATTATGTATTAAATTATAATTTATATTATAATATTAATATATAAAATAAAGAAAAATGTTTTTTGCGTTACAAAAGCAAAGTATCAAGTCTTAACACTTCTGTTTAATAACAGAATATTAAAAAATTTATATTATTAGTCATATTTTATATTTTAAATATCGTTATTAATTAATAAAATATTTTTTAAATCTATAATAACACAATTTTTGGAATGGTATTCTATGTAATATAATAAATTCTTAAATTCGTTTATTTAATTCTTGAATACATCAGTTTATTTGTTTAATTTGAATATATAGAAAGTTTTTTTTTAAAATTATGGATTATGAAAATTAAGTTTAATTAAAAGCAAAATTTGAAATTTATGTAAAGAGCAAATTTTTTAATGCGATTCATTTCAATAATAATTGCCCAATATAATAGTAAATATATTACTACAGTTCATAATAAATTTTATTTCAAGTTGTTAACTATTGTATTCTTTAATTACAATTTGCTACAAAATTTTATATTAAATCATAAATTGTTACAAATATTTATATAAAACTTTTGAACAAATTATTTGAACTCGTATAATTTATGAATAAAATTAACCTCTTCTACAGCAAATTAAGTAAAATATCCAAATTATTTGTTTGTAAAGATATTTTTGGCAATTTTATTATTGATTAATAATTACATTAGTATTTTCCTTGAGAACTATTACACTATTTTCATTTACTTTTATATCTTAATGAAAAAGTTTAATTCGGACAAATTATTTTATCAAATATTAATTTTATTTTGAGATGAAATTTTTGTAGTCTTTAAAACTAAATCGATATCAATTGGCTATATGTTTTCATAATGTATGTGCCGATATTTTATTTAATACATTATTTTAAATTAAAAAATACAATATTATGTATAAATCTTAATGTTGAACTTTACAAAATATCTTTTATTAGCTTCGGTGAGGTTTAGAAGAAAAAAAACTTGAGCACTGTTATTCAAATGGCAAATTTATTGTTTTCAAATTTTTATTTAAATAGATTACTCTTGTTAAAATATAATTTAAATATATAAATATTTTTATTTACCATGAAAACTTTCCATTGTAAACATATTGACTTTTTCATTATTAGTTACATTAGATACAATTATTTCTTTGTTTACGTATTTTCATGGAACTCATAGATTCGAACTTTTACAACGAACTTTCTCACATTTTAAATTACAAATCCAGTTATTTATAATATCCATATATATATATATATATATATGTGTGACAAGCATACGCCCATTTACCCAACATGCAAACACAGCTTTACGGATACGTACGCATGCATAGGCACACACACACACATATATATATATATATGCATGTATGCGCGCGTGTTTGCGCGCGTGTGTGTGTGCGCGTGTGTGCACGCGTGTGTGTAACCTAATCCCGAAACTTGCTTATTTACGAAAGCAATTCAAGACTTAAAATGTTAATTCTATACGAAAAAAAGGAAAAAAAGATTGAAAAGATCACTCAACTATAATACAAAGTGGACAAAATTAAACGACAACTATTTTTATAATTCTTAATCAGAAAAGTGAGTAATACCTTTCCTACAATAATGACGCATAAATAGGAATAAATATACGTATAAATAAGGTATTGAATAAAAAAGCAATGAATATGTTTTGAAAGTTTTGCGGTAATGTCACCGCAAATATCTGTCTTTTGTTATAGAGATGTTATTTTCTAATTTCTTAATAACATGGACGGCATCGTGAGCATGTTTGGAAATTTCGCAGGTTATATCATTAAACTGCGTTCAAATAAAATATCTTCAAGTCTGTGATTATTAATTAACAACCCATTGCAGAACGCTTGTGTCGCTTCCTCCACTCGATACTAATCGAGTGTCATCTTGTAGAAATGATACTTCGGTCACATGATTTGAATGGCCACTATAGCTGTGGTACAAAGACTGCAAAGGATAAAGACATAAGTATTAGGTATATTGTTGCTGATAATATTCTGTTACTGGTGTTAAAGTAACTCCTACTGATATTGCTAATTTAAGTTCATTCATCATACAAAATCACGTTGATTGGATAAGTGGCCCTTTACGTTGCTTTGACGCTTGCATACAATTGTAATATATACAGTCAATAGATTTTTTGCTCATTTTTTATTCTACTCTGATATAAATTTCCTACAATTTATTTTTGTTTTATTTAAATTTTGATTTCTTAATGTAATATGTACTTATGTATGTATAATACATTAAATATATTCAATAGTAGTAACTTAACAATAAGTCAAGTAAATATAATTATTGTTTGTAATAAATTTAAGTATGTTTACAAATTTTTGTATATAAATTATATTCTTAAATTTATAGGTAAGCTAAAAAGAATTTACTTTAATTAAATTTAAACGTAATATTTGGATTAAATATTATCTGAAAAGTAATTGAAAGTTTATTTGAAAGTAATTTTGTACATAATAACTACCTTTGGCTGACATGCAGGATAACTGAATAATTTAACTTTTCCTGATTCATCTCCGGTTGCTAGAAGTTTTCCATCTCCACTGCGATTACAAATATTGATATCAACTCCATCCGGTCCATCAGGCCAAATTCCAACAGTTTCGAAGGAGATTACACATGAATGAGTAGCCCAATCAATATCCTTCAAAAGTGAACCTTGTGAAATTTGCCGACATACTCCTGCATTCCCTGTGGTCATAGTAGATATAAATTAGAGTTTATAATTGTATTAAAGAATAACAGGAATAATTGATAATAATTAATCATTAAAGTTATTTATATATTTACATTTTGATCGGATAAATATCCTACTACAGTTATCTAACTTATCTTCCACTCGATTAGTATAATAGGAAACTGTATTTAAAATTATTTTTATATTACAGATATTATAGTCGTTTTTGTACGTTAATAAATTTTTAATTTATAAATTTTATATTTATTTTGTCGTTTTTGAAATCTTACGATTATTCATATACATATATATATATATATATATATATATATATTTATATATATTTATCTCGAGCAAACAATCTGTTCGATTCAAATAGCCAGCTCATAAAAATCAAAATCAATTTATAGATTTATAATTTATTATTAAATTTGATATATAAAGTATGCATACACACACGCGCGCGCGTATTAAAAATATACATATTTAAAATATCTTAAAAGATATTTTATGTGTTCTATACTGCGTAAGCAATTACAAGTAAAATGATAATTAAAAGAAAATTAGTAAATTTTCTACTGATATTATTTTACTTAATATAATAAATTTACAATACTTAAAAGAAAGTAAAATTTTGTATTTTTGAAAGTTAATGTAGTTCAATAGCAATACTTACAGTACAATAATTCATAGTCTCCACTATTGCTTCTTAAATATTGACCATGAAGAGACCAATCCAAATGAGTTATGACATTAGAATGACCCTAAAAATAAATTTCCATTAATTTATAATGTTTATGTTTATTGCAATTAATAGATTATGATGATTTTTTAAAATGTTAATTATAAGGGAATTGCTAATTCATTTAAAATGAGCATTATAAATTCAATATTTTCTATTGTATCGTGTACTTATTGTATTGTATTTATAAGATTTGTTTATGTCATATACAATAAGTTATTGTGCGGTATTAAATTGAACATTTGCAAAAAGAATATATGATATAAAAGAGAACTTTATATAAGAAATGATATAATGATAAATGATAAATACACTAAATATTTTATTGAATAGTGAAAATGTACAAGTGCAATAAGAAGTGGGATATGAGCTAATAGATTTTAATTATTTATACCTTAGTAAATTCCTTTCAACAATGATTTTTACATCTTCATTATATTTACTAAGTGTTTATGAATTTATATGATTAATATTATGTTAGAGACAAATAATCTACGTAGTCAAAAAATGTATTAATAATTAATAAATCATTATTGGTTTATTGACATGTTACTTCAATTTAGTACTATTAACTTAATGTTTTCAATTCTTTTTAATATTTTGAAACACCTTTATATTTTCAAGTCGTCGTTATCGTCACTGATGTATGGATCATATAAATGATTAAAATAATGATAAAGTAGTACAGATCGAATATGTAAATATAATTAAAAAAGAATTAATAATCTTATATAATTCTACGCCATCTAATTTGTTTTTTGTTTTTTATCTCCAAGTTGGATATAAACTGAACATGGTGCAATATATATATATATATATATATATATATATATATTATATTATTCAATTTAAATTCAACAACAATATGATTACTTGTTGTTATAATTTTAAAATTTTAGATTTAGGCATTAGAATATTTGAGATTTTAGAATTATGCATGGATAGGCTCATAAATAACTGTTTAAAACTGTAATGAAAATTTCCAATTAATATTTACCATACAACGACCCACACGATTGTATTTAGTTGCCTCTTCATTGACTTGGTAAATATAAATATTATTGTCTCGTGATCCTAATGCCAATAACGTTCCGTCTGGTGAGAATTTGACAACCTTAAAAAATACTCACGTCAACATATGCTTCACCAATAATTTTTCAGTTTTGAAATTGTAAGTTTTATCAACAACTTATTATGAAATATGTGATTGTTATATTATACTTGTAGTGGTTCGGTTCCATCGGAATGATAACTATAAAGTTCACGCGTTTCACTGTCAATGGCTAGCCATTTTCCTGAGAGGCATCCAACCACCATAATTGCACCATCCGGTGAAAAACAAACACTTTGGGCTTGTTCCTGTAAAATACATGATCGAATGATTATTAAATTGTAACAAAATAAACAATCGATGCCAGTAATTGTACGCGAACGATCGTTTATACAAAATTAATTTAACAGAAACTGACAAACGATCAAGAAAGCACATGGCAGGTACATTGACAACGTAAGAAAATTTGTTGGAAAAGAAAAGAAAAGAATAGCGTTTTATTCTTGTGTATTTCTTAAATAGTAATGTAATAGAAAGTTGAGGGGTTAAGATCGAGAGTACGTAACTCAAAGTACACTTTCTCATTATATCTATAAAATATAATTATAAAAAAAAGGAGAGAGATAAACTCACGCCGATATCTTTGCTCCAAACGACCGTGTGACTAAGACTATCCCACATTTGTAGTAAACGATCGTGGCCCGCTGTGGCGAATTGTGGCAGAATTGGATGTGCAGCAAGTCCCCATACTTCTTCAGCATGCCCAAGCATCGCCGGACTAAAACCCATTTCCAAGTCTCCCAGAAGAATACAATTTCTGGTTGTTCCTACTAATAGTTGATTGCCTCTGCCTTCTGCTACGGTACGGATCCCTCCAAAGTGATCCTCGATCTGCTCGTTTAAAACATAATGGCGATATTAATAAGTGTGCATGGGAGGATTTTTTCCCTTTTTCAAATTATTAAATTTTTAATTTTGGTCATCATTAATAATATTGAATATCAATGACTATTGTTAAATGAAAAAAAAAAAAAAGAAAAAAGATAAAGCACGCGAACATTGTTCCTTGAATAAAGCCGTCTAATATTGTGTAATTACTTTTAAGATGCAAAATCCAATGGGTTGGTAATTAAAGTTTATTACGTCCGCATAAACAAATTATAGGCCTTTCTCGCTTGAAAGTGCGTAAAGCGGCACAAGCGGATAAGCCAGCCTTCCACCAGTTTATTGTATAATTTTATGAAAGAGAAAATACGTACTATTGTATTAATAAGAAATAAAATTACAGAAGAAAGTTTGATAAATTTTCATTTTCATTATTTTTAATCTCGGGAATACAGCGAGGAAATCTTTATTGTTTACGAAGCGTGTAACCACCTTACGTTATCACAATATTCATCAAAGACTTAAGTTTCAGCTGAATAAATTTTTGTCAAAGAATAAGGCCTATTAACTGCATTTGTTTATAATAATTAATTTTAATTAAATCATTAGTTAATTATATTATAAGTCGTAGTCGATCTATACATGTTTCATCTGCAAATTTTTAATAGCCGATAATAGCCAATTACGTGGAGAACACCACAATTGCCAATTCAAAATAGGCTTTCCGCTGATCGTCATGAAAAATAAAATTTGTTCTATACCAATATCCAATGGAATACAATATTTTAAAACTATTATACTTTAATAGTGATTATAAACAAAAGATAATAATTTACAAATTTTTGTCTTTGACATGCCGTATAGATCACATTAAGATACAATTAGTTTTATCAATTTCACGCATTTTAATAACACATAGAGGATAAATTAAGTATTATACAAATACAGGTATAAACTTTCACATATATGTCTAATTTTTATTTAAAATGTTTAATGTCTCTTAATTCATTACAATAATTTGCTTAGGTTTGTTTAGAATTTGTTGTTTAGGCCGATGTTTTATATTTAGCATATTACTTAAGTATAAAATCTTTAAATTATGAACATACTGGCGAATAAAAAATACTGGCGAATGAATGATGATCCATAGATGCATAGTTAACGATCCATTAAAGTATTAGAAAAATGTAATACTAAATTTATTTAAAGTAAAACGTGCCATCAAGTCATTAATTTAAATAGACAAATCGTTTATACGAAAATTACATTTATTACATTTATTACTAATAACCTAAATTTATATTAAACGAAACATAAGATATATTTTAGCAATTTTAGTTTTAGCAATCCCAATGTATTTATTAATATTTTTTATATGACATTATGATGATTATACATTGCAACAAAGTTATGAAAATAACAGGATAATTATTAAATTGAAAGTATTTTTTTTATAAAGCCTGTACAGCTATTTTATTGTTATAAACTTTGGGGAAATATTTTATACCTGTGCTTCTAACCCCATCGGATTCAAAGAGGCGTCCAAAAGAACAATCCTGCCATCCTTTCCACCGCCAGTTATAATATTACCATCTTTCAAGACACACATTGAAAATACGGAGCCTTCATGAAGATTTCTAATTAGCTTCGCAATTGTATTTGTACCTAGAAGACAAATAGTTGTCCATTGCAGATTATTTCAATCTTTAAATATTAAATAAAAAAAATACGTTGTTCTGTGTACACATTGGTGTGCGCGTCTGTATTTGCAATGGCAATTTGAATTTCAATTTGAATTTACAATTAAATATATTTTCTCCAGTGCATATAAATTTTTTATTATATTTCATCAGAGTCAAAAAAATCTATTACCATCGTGAAAAGTACTGCCAACTTTAATTATTTAGTACAAATTATTTCTTAAAACATTATATTGTTAATTTTTTTTTTTTTTAAATCTATAAGCATTGGTTAAATATAAATAAATGCGTAAATCATTTTCTATTTTGAAAATAAGAATAGACAGGAAATTCTTAAGAGGACATGTACCTCACTTTTTACCGTTATACTACTTTACCGACTATTGAATAATTGAATATATTAAATTAAGATATATAATTAATTACATTAAAAAGAAAATAATAATAATAATAAATAAATAAATAAATAAATAAATGTTAAATAATAAATATTTACAATATTTTTAAAAATTTATCCGTAAAATTTTTAATAATATTTTCTTTGTTTTATTAAAATGGCAATAAAATATTATTTTACAACCAACTACAAACTAAGCGTTTTTTTACACAACATACAATTATACAATTATAATTTAAACTTTATTATAAATTATACAGTTTGAAACTACCGAAACTACAAATAAACTTTACGTATTGTTTTGACAGATTTTGAAAATCATAGTTTTCGCCCGTTTTGTCCAGAAATATTGAATAAGATTTTTAAAATGACGTATACACGTGAGATTCTTACAATGTATAAATATTATTTTTTCTTCAATGCAATTTTTTAATTTTATAATAAAAATTATCATCAAACATTCAAATTCCGGTATATTAATGTATAAAATTGTTTTCAATGATGTCATTGTTATTTAATATCAAAGAAACATTTAATTGGCATTTTTTGTTGGCATTATTCAAGTGGAAAAATTAAATACTTTCAATATTTATCTTATGAATATTTGTTACACACACACACACACACACACACACACACACACACACACACACACACACACACACATTTGTGTGAATTAATATAAATCAATATAAAGATATAAATAATTACAATTCTCTTATAATGTTTTAATGTATTTAATTTTTAAGATTAATAAAATCGAAGAAAATTTATTTTAGCTATTTTATAAAAATTGTTAAATGAATAACGGAATGTAAATAAAAATATTCGATTAAATATTAAATGTAGATTAATTATTTATAATATTTTGGCAAATAGTTGAATTTAAAGTATTTCAATATATTACGCGTTTCAATAACTTTTACATTTTACTTAAATAGTATAGTATATTTAGCAATAAATAATGCCGATGACGACAACAATAGTAATAATAATATACATATATTATGTATTGAAACGTAAACTAAATATGTAAAGATTATATAACATAGATGTAATATGGATGAATAATTATATTATTGGCAAGTTTTTATAATTGTATAATCTTAATAAACAGTAATTGAAGTAGTTCGATGATTAGTTAATGTTATAAAAGAAGTAGCGAATAAGTGAAAGAGTGAGTTGTATTATCGGTATTTCGTTGGATGTTTGTTAATAAATATTTATGAGAAATAGCGCTTTTATGTTATTCTATAGTACATTAAGTTGTCAATTCAACAATCATCAAAGTTACCGAATTTTAAACAAATATATTACCGAATGAACAATGTGCAGGTTCTTTTATGATGTAGAGTATAATCTCTATTGTGTATAAAAAGAAATAAAAAGGTAGGAAGAGATACCTCTTGCCCAAACAATGACATTGCCGTTGCTGTCGCCGGTGAGGACGTCACCACTTTGGTTGAAGGCGACGCAAGTGACATACCTCGGCTTCTCGCGACTCTCGAACAGACCCATACGCTTGTACAGCATACCGCCATTGTCGAGAGACCAAAACGATACATGTCCTTTGCCACATGAAACTATTTGTGTTCGTTCCAGTGGATGCCACTCAGCGCAAACGACCGTATCAACCGAACACTGAAATCAATTTGAGATGCTCATTTTAGCTATCGTATTTTAATTCTTATGACAATTTTCTCGGTTATCGTCATTATTCATTTGTCGTCGGACGATTAATTTTTTGACTACGTCCTTTCTCCTGGATAGTTTTACTAATATGTAAATCAAATTGGTGATTATGCACTTTGCAATTAATCCCTATTAGTTATAATCGCATTGTTCAATCTAATTTAAAAACTGTTAGAATTATAAAATTATTTAATATATATATATATATGCTTTTGATACGCTCGTTGAACATTATGATAATCAAGGATATTTGTTATAATAGTGTAACAATTAATCGTACGATAACGATCGTTATTATATGATAATAACGACGATATATTGATAAAATTGTAAAAGAATGTGCACGTTGCGCCACTTAATGTGTTTACCTTAGTCTCTGTGAGTTTTGTTCCTCGATCCCCCTTTTGCCATTCCCATATTGAAATATTGTGATCTGACGTCTCATCGATAGTAGCTAAAAAATTTCCACCGTCGGCTTTTGAAAATGATAAGCAACAGATTGACCCATCAAATTCACCGTTACCGATTGTACATAAAGTTGATAAGCTTACGGAATTCCATATTCGTACATGTGCCTAGGAGCCATAGAAAAATTGTAAATTGGCAGGTATTGTTTGAAATAGTTAAAAAAAAATATATATATATACATATATATTTATAGTACCATAGTATCTCGCCGTTCGGCTCCTGAAGCTTGACCAGTTGCTACTACTAATTTATTTGGATGAATTGCTATGCTAAAAAATGACATTTATATTGCAAACGTTAATCAACATAAATATTAAATAGAAATTAACATTTTTATAAATCATATAATGTGTAGAATACAGATACTTCTTAATTATTTATACTTATCACTTTTATCATAATTATAATAATCATAATAAACATAATCAGAATTGAATTATAATACTTTGGTTAATTAAATATCATTAGGATTTTAATAAAATTTTCTTTTTCCAGGCTTTGATATTGTGATTAAGAATAACATATCGTTCCACTTTTATTATTATTATGTTGTTGTTGTTGTTGTTGTTGTTTTTTTTTATTGTTTTTAAATAAAGTACCGTATCGTGTTAAATTTATGGCATTAGTATTCATAATTTGCTTACACGCGTGCTGATTCAACGCATCATTACATTTATTATTATACGTCGGAAAAATTACCTAGAGACTGCGTGATTCAAGGAAGGTCGATAATAAAGTGATAGAAGGTAAGACGTATGACAATTACCATTTTACGTCATCGGTGTGCCCTAAGTAGTGTCTCTGGCAGTGTTCCTCAGTATTGTACAGCACGACAACCGAAGCAACGAAATAAACAACCTCACCGGTCGGCAGCAGGTGCAAGTTGTTCCTGCAGTCCCTGCCCCGATAGCCGTAGACCCAGTCGAGCTTGAGCTTACTTTGTGGTGGCACGTTTACCTTGTGTGGGTCGTAGCTCTCGATAGCTCCCGAAGGCACGCACATGTTCACCGGACGGCCACGCAGGTACATACGAATAGTGCCATCCTCCTCATTGTACTGCATTTCCCGCGTGCTGAGCAAAGCCAAACATTTTTCAACCGTTACGTACTTTGTTAATTTTACAACTTCTCCTTGCCGCCGCCACCACCATCACCACCACCACCACCGCCATCACCGCCACCACCGCCACCACCGCCACTACCACCAGCACCATCATCACCTTTCTGTTCCGATTTCATTACACATTCGTCATTGGTATTATAATTTTTATGTTCCATTACCCGCTTATACAATGTTTCGTTATTGCTCTAATTTCTTAGTTTTATTTATTCGTAATTGTAACTTAATATTGCAGCAAGATTATGCTTGGAAGCAATAACTTAGGCAGTCTTGAATTTCAATTAATATTTTAATAACTTAAATAATTTGAGATTGGAAGCGAAGAGTTTTTTATTCGTCCGATGACGAACGCGTTTCATTGTTTTATAGGAAAATTACCGATTTGTGCGTAACGACATTGATAAATTCGAATCGGTATTTTTATTTTTAGTCGGCATTATGATTACTGCTGGCTCTCAATATTTAAAACGAACCAACGTGATCGTTATGTAAAAAGTAATCTGACATGCATCATGTTATCCAATACGCAAGACGGCATCATATACGGTACATGTTAACTCTTTATTTCTAGATTTTAAAGAGGATTATATCGATTTTTTATTTAACTCAATAATTACTACTGCAAATTGAGGAGGCTGTAAATCAACTTTTATTATGCCATTATTAAGAGATTTAAGAGCATTTTTATTACAAAGATTAATTACAGAAAGATGTTGTTTCGATTTAGTAATATACATATACATTTGCGTTGTTCCTTTCGTTTTTTTCTTCTTCTTCTTTTTTTTTTTTTTTTTTAACTCAATACAATTATTAATGCATATTTTGTTTTTATTTCGCTACAATATTACAATTCCTTAATAAAAATTACACATTTAAGGAAAATTATATTTATCTTTATATACTTCGTTAAAAAAAAAAGAAAAAAAAAAAATTTTAAATTTAAAAATATTAGTATTTTATAGTTTATTTGGAAGAGTTCAATGTCACATTTAATTAACAATTATTAAAATTATTTGTATTTTATGGAAATGATCATGATAGTGATAATACCTTTTTATTTCTATCAAAAATATCAAGTTCTTATTAATTGTTATTAATCGCATTGATTATTAATTGCATCCTTTTTTAATTTTCCAGGATTTAAGCTGATTTAATATATTTTTAAAATTAATGAAAACGTTTATACGTATATTATTTTAAGAAATTACGATGGAAATCTGTAATGGACCTTCAATAATAAATATCCATTATATAATATTGTAATAATCAAGATTATAAAAATATAAAAGGCTTTGTGTAAGCGTATTTGCTTCGATGAGAAAACCTTAAAAACACTTTTCATTAAATGCTTTTATTAAGAATGTTTAAAGTAAAATTACAAAGTATCTAATTTAGGAAACATCTTTCAATTCTGTCGTAAATAGTAAAATTAATTATTTTGTAAAAAAATATTTACGAATATTTACTTGCAAATGGAACATACAAATCTTAAGAATAAAAAATTAAGGAATCGAAATGATAAATAATTATGTAATGATAAAAAAAAAAAAAAAAAAAAAAAAAAAAAAAAAAACTATTATTAAAGCGATAAAACCAATCTAAGTAACATTTTATTTCGCGAAACGATTAATTTTTTTTAGTAATTATTATTATTTTGTTAGAATCCTTTAACACGAATATCAATAATCTTTTGAGTTTTTGCGTAAAAAATAGTAATGTAATTAAAAAAAAAAAAAAAAAAAAAAAAAAAAAAACATATATATATATATATATATATATTAACATTATGTTTTAGATTTAATGAATCATAAGTTCAATAAAATTAATATATAAATAAACATATTTTTCAATGTTAAAAGTTACTTCTATTATTCATTAATAGATGATTAAATTTCATAAAATATAAGATGACAACGAGAAGTATTGTATTTACACATAAATTGTATTAAATAATATTTTTTTAAAACATGTTCAGTGTGTTAGTGTGTGACTGGAGACGAAGAAAGCAATGCACGATCAAGCGTGTAGTATTTGCCTCTGCGTTAATAGGAATAGAAGAAAAGAATTTTCCCTCTTTTATTTACCCATGTTTCAAGTTGCTCAGCACTGGAGGCTTGAAGAGGTTGAACAGGGACTTGGTAGATGCTGATAATCTATAATAAATGAAAATGCAAAACCAAAAAGACATGCATCGAAGCTAAGATTTACATCATTCTCTAAGGATTTTGAGAAAGTATTTTATGCTCGTTTACAATCCTAAACATAGTCACGTAGACGATTATATAAGAAAAAAAAAACATTGTGTTAAAAACTTTTTTTATAATATATAATAATCATAATAATGATAATAATAATATTGTTAGATAATACACAGTATAGATTATACAGATGGTTAGAAAGATAAAGATACGTTGTTTATATTTTTGAATGTTCAATTAAATATATATGGAAGTATAAGTATTTGTGAATATTCTACAAACCTTTGATTCTTTCTTTTTTCCTTTTCTTTTCAATATTTATTATTTATTTATGTTATTATTTTATTTTATAAATAATTAGTCGAAATAATTAATTGAATGTAACAAGTTTTTTTTTATTATTATTATTGGAAGTGTAAAGGCGAGGATACAATATTTGAAAAATGTTTTAGAATCTTAATAGAAAATGAATTAAACGTCAAAATCTATAATAAAAGATACTTTATAGAACATACGTAATAATAATAATTTTTTTTTTTTTGTGCATTTGATTAAGCCGTAGGAATGATTATATTCGTAATTAGGGTTTTTAAAATAATTAATAGGTAGAATTTCGTTCGATTTAATTATCGCCAAATTACAAATAACAATCTCATATTATAATTGTAATTACATATATAACGTAACCAACACTGTAAATACAATTCATTCGATTCGAACAAAAGACGTAAAAAAACAATTTTATCATTATTATCATTATTATTAATTTAATTGAATTTATTAAATTTTTTAATATATTGCTTTTTATATACGTGTATGGTGGCGTCTATGTATATTAAGTTTTAAATATGCACCCTTTTCTAAATAGATAATCACTTATCCTATATTAATGTCACATTAATGAATAATATATGAAAAAATTACACGTAGTCTTGTAGTCACATTTAAATATTTCTTGAAAGCCAATTGGGACAATATTAATTGAAACTTGAAGTTAATTTGTTCTTTTTTAAGAATACGTACAACGATATACGTTGTATTTAATACAATCTACGTGACGACAGTAGAATTAGCAAAGAGATACGTAATTGTAATTGGTAATTGTGGAAAATGACAACGATTTATTAATCAATGCGCTTGATGAAAATTTATAAAATAAAATTGGTTTTTGTATTAAATCTTCGCGTGAAATAAAAATGATATTTGAGAAACATCGTTGAGTCGATAATAATGAAAATCAATTTACTCAAATATAATGATTGGTTTTAATTTTGTAGTCGTGGAGTGGAGCAACGTCAGCTTACCTGGAAGGTGCCAGCTGAGCATTATTTGATCCTTGATTGGATGGAGAATGCGTGAAATCGCCGGTCGAGGACCAGCGTTTCGCTCTTCGGAGACTGCATTGTGGTGGTCCGTTGACTCTCGTCGTCGGTGACCTACTGAAACATTTTATCGATCTTCATTATTAAGGCAACGAGCTTGTGCATCGTGCTCGATAAGTCCATGTTTTGAGAAACCGAGTCTTTTCAAAGAGTCGTAAATATGGTTAGACCGAGTATTTCCAAATAGAATGAAAAAAAAAAAAAAAAAAAAAAAAAAAAATAAAAAAAAAATATCGAACGTTGGATGGATGTTCGAGAGCTTCGAGTAGGTTGTGCCGATGCTCTTTTACCATTAAAAAGCGGTGCGTTAAATTTGATGTTGTTAAAGCAATTAGCAGAGCACCGAGAAACATCGATATTTGAGTAAAAGACGGCATTTAAGACGAGGTAAGGTAAGGCTAAAGAACGTCGCCATATTAGTTCGTTGTAAGTGGTAGCTTGTAGAATGCGATGTAAAATTTACGAAATAACAAAGGCAGATTATCGGTTTGCTCCCTAGCTGGTAAAACAGATAATAGATCGCGATAACAAGGCACATACATACCTCACAGCTGGAAGCGGCGTGGCCCGGGGACTGGGCGACGGCACCGGGGATACACTGCTGCTGCTTGGACTGTCGACTGAGAGTGTACCGAGCGTCTGTAACAGTGAACCGCGCACATAATTGCAGGTACCATATACTTTGTATTTTATTGCAAAAGTCCATGTAGCGATTATCTCATAATGTTCACCGAGTTGAACGTGCCAATTAATTGCCGTAAGGCCTTGAAAGATTTTCTTTTTAATAACTTGGCAAGTGCCATTTAAATTACCAAATTGTTCGACATTAACTACCGATGAAATGAAAAATTGCTCGACTGCGAGTATTTGGATGAGATGAGCGTCGAGTCGATCGTGAATAATTATTCGCATTAGCGCTAAGCAATTTAAATAAATTTACATTTGCCAATAAAGATAATGATTAAGTCGCTTAAAAATTTGTCTCCCTATTCGTATGCCAATGGAACTACGAGGCTAATGTGTACTCGCGTCAATGAAAGAATAATTTATTTTTTCAAATCCAAGTGGTAGAAACTCGGCGATAAAAGTTGAATGTAATAATGGTAATATATAGTGGAGCGATCGTAGTTAAATAAATGCTCGAGCTTGTGTCCTCGGATCATCAATAATGATGAATAATAATGAACGCGTAATAATCGCAGAAATCGTAATTCTACACAGAAGCTCGGGATATTCTTTTATTGCCCTGGCAATATATTAACCTTTGAGGAAGTTGCGTGGGTGTGGCATAATTGACAGGTCTCCGTTGGACCAATAGTTGTGATGAGCCGTCGCGTTGTGTATCGTGCGGAGACTGTCCCATCGAAGCTCCACTAGACTGTCGTCCTTTCGCATCTTTTAACGAATTTTGATCTAAACAAGGAATTTGTATTTAATAATAGTCGCTCATGTAGCTTGGCTAGTTAACGTTTGAAGCTGCCATAGTTAAGTTTTCGTTAATTCGTAATATATATATATATATATATATATATACATATTTTTTTTTCTTTTGTCATAAAGCACTAGAATAGTTTAAAATACAAATTATATTTAATGAAAATACGAGAATCTCGGCCAAGTTTGATAAAAGACAAGAGATACGGGCTATACATGGATTTTTCTTCTTTCACAATTAGTCACGTAACAAAGCATCCAGACTTCAAAGAGTCTTATACCTTACGGAGTTTAACATTCATTCGAGAGGTTTATGCTTGTTTTCGCTAAACCAAGCATAAACTCGATGGTCCCTACCTGAATTAAGGAACATCAACATGAAGGAAGGACTCTGTCTAGAATTACTTATTACAAATGTGGTTATCAGCTTAAAAATTAAATAAATGTACGAACAGGAAGTGGTATAAGATAGAAGAATAGAAAAGAAAAGAAAAGAAAACGTCGTTTTCCTTACTCCTGAGAGAAATATGTCCATTTCTCAATGGAGAAGAGATTCCCCTATCGTTTCTCCTCTCGCCTCTGTCAGTCCTATCATTTCTTTCATCTCTGCTCTTCAATTGGTCTATTCGTCGCAGGGCATCCGCCAATGTAGCGCGCAAACAAATTATTTCGTCTTTTTGAGCCAACGATTGACGTTCGAGATCTACAACTCTTTGCAATATCGAGCTTGCTTCACACTCCAGCATCTCGTCTGTAATGTAAAAATGAAAAAAGTATTTTATTGTAATGCGAGCTTTGAATATCAATAAAATGAAATGGTAATAATTAAATGAAGATGTTGAATGGTGAAAAAGTAAGTACGTTAAGATAATGTGAATTGAAAAATTCATCGAGCTTATCACAAATGCGTCGTTTACACATCACCAAAGGCGAAGTTTTGTCGTTGGTCGTTGCATTTTAGACGATTATATTTCGCATCTACGGAGGCGCAAAATAAACGTTATACAATATAATGCATTTCATGGAATATATTGTTCATGCGGGGAGAAGAAGGAAAAAAAAGAAAGCTGAGTCACGCTCGCTCAATGTTTCTAACAATTGGGCGAGTGGACGACTTTACTCTCTATATTACCCATAAAATAAATATCAATAGTAACAAAGTAATGTTGGCGATCGATTGCGTATAGACGCTTTTACTGGTATCGTCCTTTGTATCCCCTATATAATCTATCGACTCTCACTTATTTTATTTAGTATTTTCCCTTGCCATAACGTTGCTGCTTTTTATTGACACCTATGCATTTATTTCTTGCTGTATTTATAATGAAATGCTGGAATCAATAAAAACAAAAACGACAAAACGACAAAACAAAACAAAACGAACAAAAAAAAAAACCATTTAAATGAGCATTACAAAGGTTGAGCTGCGTTAATTTAGTCGAACATCACACGATTGATTTACAATGTAAAATATTTGAAAATATAATGATACTTTCGACTAACATATAACGTGAACATATAACTCCATAAATAACAAAACTTTATAATTTATTGTCTCGATCACTTTTAAATAATAGAAATTTTATCAAGATTAAAATAAATCGCATTTTTTAATAGTAGATATCATCGTTAATGATCAATAACAATTTGATATTTTTTCAGTGGCAATATTGCGATATTATTATCAATTTCATTATTTCCAATGATTGCGCGATAAAAACCAAAATATATCGTCAGATTAAATTTCGATTATAATTCTATTCTTAATTACATCTTATTATTCTTATTAAGTTATATTATTTTATTAGCACAACAAATAGTACGATGTTTCATTGTAATATATAATAAATCTTATAAAAATTATTTATTCTAAGTAAAATAGTGTGTAAAATGTATTTTAAAAATATCCTTCATTGTCTTATGAAAAATACGAATCTGTGAACTCTATTACTTAATATCTTTCTATTATAATTAATAGTCAGATATATAATTAAAAAAAAAAAAATTCTTTACTATAATATGGAGGCTCACATTAGAAAGAAATATTTTGAAACACAAATATTTGAATAAAGTAATTTTAATAAAAACTGTCTTAAAATTCTTTAACAATCTTGATTGATATGAACATTAATTTTATAAAAACAATGTATTTTTTTTTTACTTTATATATATATATATATATATATATATATATTTTTTTTTGCAATTAAAGAAAATGTTAGTATTAAAAGTGCGCCAGAAAAACTTTTAGAATAAATTTTAAAATTACTAATAATTTAAGAAAGCAAATGACACTTTCATAATTTAAATAAATCTATTAGGCAGAGAATTATTTTTTAATAAAAAAATAATATATCTTTTGAAACAGTTAACGTAAAATAATTCAATTTTTCGGCATTAATTTTACTTATTATTCTTTAAATATCAACGTTAGTGTTTATAGCATACCAATATATTAATTAACATTTATGGTTATTAATTGAATTTAATTGAATTTAAACTTCATATTACATTTGACTTTAAGCCATAAAAATATTTTGTTGATTATCGATTTCTTAGATTATTAATAATAAAACAGGTCAATTTGTACACTACCAGATTCCTCAATTATTTATTTTTTTAATGCTGCCAATATGATTTTCAACTAATGTTCTTTTTATGAAATGATATGAGAAATATTTTTTTAACGATCTATATATTTTCATACACATATGCATATATTTTAATGATAAATATATTTTTATGTTTTTTTGTAGCAGATATTATTATTTTTTTTTTTTTTTTTTTTGCTTTATCAATAAAAATATGATACTATATGTATTTAATAAATGTATATATTTGAGTATAAATTGAATTTCTAAACGATTGATAATGACATAAGTTCATGTATCTTTATTTGCATTATAATCTACATTAGAATTTCAAATATTGAAATACCCATCCAATTATTAGTATCGTATAATTTTTTTTAAGCATCACGATATAATAATTGATTGTATAAAGTGAGAGTAGAACATTTTATCATTGCATTTACTAAAAAAAAAAACCCATTTTTGAATATGAAGCCATTTTATTATTATAAATGTTATCCGATATACTTAAATACCCGAAAAGCACTTGAACTAAAGTTTAATTTTATAACGTTAAAAATCATATCGAACAAATTATTATGTAATATAATATATGAAAATATTAATATTTCTTTTTCAAATTGGTTTTTTATTGAGCTAAAATTTGTTATATGTAAAAAAATGTGCCTTTTTAATATAAATAATTTATGGTTAATCAAAGTATTTAGAGACTAATAATATTCGTATAAATATGAAAATTTTCAATTTGTAACTTTTTCATTTATTTGTACAAATATACTCGTGGGTCTCTTTAATTATATGGACCTTGAATTATTCTTATTATCGGTGTCTGCATATCGCGGATAAATTTAATGAAAATATAAAAATATAAAATCGAACTGTCCTTACTAAAAAAATGTTTGTACAAGTCTTCAGAGATGAAAATTTTAATACTTTATAATGATAATAAAGATGCCTAAAACAATAATGTAAATATTTTACCAATTTATATCGTAATATTAAGAAAAAATTAAATTCTAATTTAATTAGACGTTAGCTGTAGATAGATAATAATATTATAAATATGTGCTCTTAAAACAAATAAACCAATTATTTTATCTTCATTATTTTTTTTATCTATCTCTGTCAATCTCAAATATAGATAATTTTTCTAACTAAATAGTTTTTCGAATCGCGTATATATACTGAAAATGGTTTTCTCTCGAATAAATATTACAAAAGTGTAATAATAATTCGAAATTTTTATTATCTTTTTAATAAAACTTATTAATAATATTAACGTGCGTGTTGAGATTCTATGAAATAAATTGGTAATATAAATGTGGTATGGTAATATAAGATGTAATATAATTGTATAAGTTGTAATATAATGTAAGATTGTTAAAATTAAAATTATTTAAATAATTATTAAATATTAAATATTAAAATTATTGAAATAAAGAATAAAATTAAAAAAATAATTAAATATAATATAATGTAAAAATATAAGATGTAATATAATGCAATATAATATAAAATATAACAATGGTAATATAAGAATTTTCTACAAAATAAATCCTCATGGTTATACACATTATTGTTAATCTAGTCATATTTTTATTGTGTTATTGTTTTGCTAAAAAAAAAAATTCTTTTTTAACAAAAATAATAAATATATTAGTTGTTTACTAAAATGTTATGAAGTAAGAAAATTGATGTCATCACTGAATTCTTGAAAATATGTATTTCATTGATTCAGTACCAAACGAATTATCGAAAGTATAAATAAATATTAAACACAAGATTATTTTCTTGAAGTGTACCTGCACAGTGTAATAATGAAGATTTCTAATTACTCCTTTCACTTTTTTTCCCACTACAATATGAATGCATCAAATTTATTTAAGAAAAAATATACTTTTACGTATTTAAGGCTTTGGAATGTTTGAAAAAATTAGAAGTCGTTTGAAGTAATTTTAAATTCGACATGATATACATACGTACTTATCATAACATTAAAAAAGAAAAAGTAAAATTTTTAATTTTAATTTTTCGTTTGGTAATAATATCACAATATTTAAGAAGATATAAATGTTTAAATTCTTAAATATTTTGATGATTATAATATAAAATGTATTTTAACTTTGAATGAAGAAGTATTCTTTTATGTATGTAATGAGACGGAGCTAACAATCGCAGTAAAATATTGTTTCGCATTATAATAATAAACATTGGTTCTACATATTATATTGAGTCAGAACTATTTTTAATTTAAAATTCGTAACAGTGAAGCTATTGTGGGATTTCGTTGCCTTTGTCACCGAGTAATGATAATAGTGATAAGTGATTTTAATAAAATCCATCGATTTAATAATTTTAGTTAAATATTCTGAAATTAATTGATATATGTAATGGTATTTATTTATAATTATTAATTAATTAATTAATTAATTTTTCTTTTTATATATTTATATCTCTCTTATCCTCGTTCTATTAGAATTAACGTATGAATCGTTTATTGGACGTGAGCGATTGCTGATAAATTTTTGTATATGCACCATCAGATATTAGGAATAACGTTTTCATTTTTATAAACATATTATAATTTAAAATTTTAGAATAATTGAATTACAGATTGAAAAAATTCGTTGGTGCAATCATTATAGTTGAAGTAATTTTAGTATTATTAAAATTATCGTTCGAATAATAATTGTTTTTTTAACATTAAATATTAATGATAATTTGATGTAACGCGTTTATAAATTCATAAAAATGAAGTTGAATGTGATGAATATATTGGATTGGTAATATTTATCTCTTTGTTATAAAAGGATAATTTAAATTTATAAATGTGTATATATATATATATTGAATTATAAAAGATCGTAAGATAAAACATTTTTTCATACTTATTGAGTAGAGAATTAGAATTTGCAATAGACAGAGAACAGTCGGTATAATCCTTATTGTAATAGTACAAGAGAATTTTCATAATTTTTTTCAAGTACTATCCTATCTATTGGACATAATATTTATTTTTGAGAGGTAAACATTTGGATTGTGAAAGAAAGGAAGGAAGGAAGGTATGCTTCACCGAAGCCCATATTGCCGTGTCTATGAGAATAAAGAAGCGAATTAAAATTACTTGAACTATTGGTAAAATCACTGTATCGCTGACAATAAGTGTAGATGGCTGAATTGCAAATAGAAGTAGAGTAAAAAAAAAAAACGTTGAGTGATTGAATAGAATAGGATAGCAATATGGGTAGGGAGGGAGATGGCGGGATGCTGATTTGTAGAGACTCAATGATGAATGATTAATGTTTCGGGACACCATTTAATACCTTTACAGCAGGCTTGCTGCTACTGGTCTAAGGGCATATAAATATTTCCCTCTAAGGATTGCGGGATACCTCGCGCTCGCATTAAAACACATTCAACCGATCTCTTCTGGACCTGGACACTGGTCCGGCAATGAATCGGATTGCATTATAGGCATCCGATTACGCGAACGGTCGCTGCCATCGCCGAAACTCCGATTTTAAATAACGAGTACTCACGCCAGGCGCGCTCCACCTCTTCTCTCGTCGCCACTCTCTTCATAGCTTCGGACATGATATTGTGCGAGCAGTTGACCCCCCGCGTGCCGTCGACCTCCGCATCAGTCGCGGCGCCCGGCGTTCATCCGTTTGGCTCAGGGCGAGCCACATGACAGGCCGGCTCGCGCCGACTCGGCCGTGTTTTCGAGTGCGCTCGGTGTCTCGGCGGTGACCGGGCGTCTGCGCTCTTGGCAGCACACCTAGTGGGAGTCGTCGGCAATTGAGGCGGGAGTCGGCGCACCGCAGCCGGGGGAACAGGCACATGATTAATCAATACCTTGTAGATAAAGATGCTCAAGATAACGGCAGCCTTTAAATGCTTAGTCGACGTTGGAGCTGCAGCATCCAACTAACGTTGATCATTGACTGGCGGCTTTGCCTAACCGTCGCACTGGCCTATGTAACGTCTCACAGCTGAGCTTCCATCTGCTTCATCTCCTGTCTTTCCAGGTGGTCTCTGAGCGCAGCTTCCCAGCGCCATTTCGCCATTTCGCTGCTACGGTGATACCAAGTCTCTAAGCTTCACCTTCAACTCCATAAACATTTATGAGAACCTCGCTCGGACATGTGCGCGAACGGAGCAAATTGCGCCGTACCCCCTTAAGCCAATCAAATACCAGTTGTTCATTATCTCTTCTGGAGATCCCATCGTGAAATACAATTTTTATTTAGATTTTTACGTTGAATTACGCCCAAGATACTTTATAACGATATTCTTATGTGGAAATTTATTAACTACCGCGATGAAAATTAATTTTTATTTTCTAAATGTAACCAACCAGCTCTATAAAATATCTTTTTCTCTATAATTCAGCTTTACTTTTAAGGATTTAATTACACACCCGCCAAATGGTGTAATATAGCGTGTAAGCAACCGAGTAACTGGAGTTTGAGAGCAGCGACCACTTTTTTTTTCTTTATTTAAAAAATCATGAAATTTCTTTTAAAAATTCTTTTAAAAAGAATTTGAACATTGTATTTTATTTATTTAATTTAACGAAAGGATGTAATTTTTGTTATTATCAATTTTGGATAATATTTTTCATGAAATCTCGATCATTATTTTATATAAATATTTATATAAATAAACATTAGATCATATCAAATAAATATGAAATTCATTTACTGTTTTATTATTTCTTGTCTTTAGTGCAGCATTTTCGAGTAATTGAATACGTAAGCAAATTCAAAACTTTTCTACAAATTAAAATGCAGTATAAATTTCTCTATTCACTCTTCATAAAAACAATGTGTATTACGGGATAAACCAAGGACAACGAAACATATTTATAAATAGATAATAAAAATAAGATCAAAGGATAATGACTAGATAGTAAATTAGAAAAGTTACTGTAATTAACATATAAATAAAGTTAAATTAAATTTCCAATTAAAAATGAGATAAATTAAAAATAGAATATATTAATTTAAAAAAATTCTTTATTAAATTTTCTTTTAAATTTGCAACTTCGTATCAGCGAACGTATAAAAACACATTTTCTAGTATTTGCTTATCTCTTTAATTTAATATAATTTGATATGTGCGGAGAAAGCAAGAATGTAAAGATTGAAAAATTACGTTATTACGAATTAAAACTATTTAATCAGTAATGTAATTAGGGAGGAAATTATAGGCAAAGGAGAAAATTAAAGACGTTATGCTATCCCATTAATCTCAATTAGCTCAATTAACTGTATTTGCATTGATTATTTTATTTATCAGCCAATGGTATTGAAAATTCCTATATTATGGCTTCGATGTCCATATAATGCTGTACACGAAACATTTATCCATCTTCATTGATAACTCGTAAATTTGCACGATTGCGTTCGATTAACTAAAGACGATGAAATAATATTTTGGTTGAGACGAATACATAAGCTACCGTAAGCTACCACTATAAGCACAAATCATGGTTGGTCACATGTAATGGACTGACTGCTTTGTATAAAATATTTTTCTGAACAAGTACTTTATATAGAAGCTAATTTTGCCAAATATGCTTGCTTATATAAAAATTTAAACGCATCTATCGATCAACACAATATAAGCACAATTACTTAACCGAAGTTATGAGCTTATGCATCGATTTTATTCGTAAAATGTAAATCCAATTACCCATTTCATATTAGGCTTTAGCGCAATAGTAAAAGAATGACGATAATTTAAGCAAATGTCAATTATAGAAATTTTATATATTTGTAAAGTGAAAAAATTAAAGCAATAAAATATGTGCAATGTATTCTTATTGTAAATATCAAGAATAAATAAAAAAAATTTTTTGTATAAACGTAGTGGCCAATCTTCTAAAAATAATATATTTAAAATTTTATTTTCGCATATACATAAATATATCGTAATAAATATGCTTGTGTCACGAAAATTTCCTATACGTACATAAAAGGAGTACTTGAAATATATAGTACAATAGTACATACCAAATTTTCTTAATTCTTTAAAAGTATCAAATTATAAAATACATACACAACACCTCAAGATGTTTTAGTTCAAGTTTTTATGAAATCTTTTTCAATTTTTAATAATGAAAACTGGATTATTAATTTGAGTAAGTATCTATAATTAAATAAATTTTAATTAAATTCAATTTCAAAAAAAAAAATAATATCGATAATAAATATATTATTAAATACTTATTTGCTTTTAAGAAAATTTTTTACATGAAATGAACGTGGACAGTGGAGGAGAGTATAGTGTTGTATTTAACAATGTATATCATTAAATTTTATGATTAAACTGATATATTTATATTAATTAAAATGAAAAAGCTTTTATTCATTAGAAAAATAAAAAAAAAAAAAAAAAAAATCGACAAACAAAAGAATAAATATTGTATTATGCTACATTAAAATACTATATTTTTTTTAAACATAAAACATTTATACAAATGCTAATATAAGTTTATGTTTCCGATAAAACGCATTAAACAATAATTTGATAACAATCATTGGTCGAGTTTGAACGTTCACCACTACGACATTAATGATATTATATTGCTTAAGATGTTGCAGAATTTTTAATGTTAGTAACTATTTACTTACGTTACAAAGTAAAAGTACTTTTTATTTATAGAATTAATTATTTTCCTTTTTTTTTTTTTTTTTTTTTAATATAAAAATTAGAAGATGTTACGTATTTATTTAATTATATGATCGTACGTGAGATTATTTGTGATAAAATTAAAGCGAATGAAATAATAAAATAATAATTTATCAGGCAAAGTAGATGAAATTATATTTAAAAACTAATAAATGTATTATGTACAATGGAAAACGTAATTAAAAAAATAGTTGATCCGACTGTTTGAGCGTTAACACTGACTTTTATAGTTTAGAAAATATAAGATTTAATTAAGTGAGAGAGAGAGAGAGAGAGAGAGAGAGATGAGACGAGACGAGATGATATGGACTAGGAATTCGCGGTATCAAGTGGCATGCAAGAAGAGCACGTCAGGCTCGACTGACACGGGGGTGTGGATTGAAACATCGTGAGAAACAAACGTATTGGCTGGCATTGGATAATCGCGTCGCAGCATGAGTGCTAAAAAACCGGTTCGATAGTAACGAAGTGGCCGAAGGATAAGGGGAAGAGCGAGAAGGAAGGAAATGTCACTCGTATTTGATAATTAGTATAGTAGCGCCATGAACATATCCATGACCTACCTCAAGCGCCCGGATTTTCTATTCGTTCATATTAGTCGAAGCTGTACTGGCCGATATTTCGACTTGTCACCTTGAAAACCGTATCCCGCGCTGCCAAGCAAAGCCGCCCCCTTTTTCGCCTATCCTAGAAAGTTTCGCTTATTTTTCATTAGCCGTCGACGTACGATGATAAATGATGGGCGTTGGATCTAATATACCGTTTATTTTAAATGCAAAGTCAGCTGTCCGTCCTCTTTGCCATTTATGCCTCTGGGTTATTAAAAAATAATATACTTGGATTGGGTGCAATCGATCGATAATCTTATTTTCTAGTCGGCTTTCGACGTCACTTATGTTTAATGGCATAAAAGCTCGCCTCTTACATATTTATTTGAACACTAGAAAATATTATTTTTCAATGGCCTTAGTTATTCATACTACGCGGACACGCGATAAATTTTCATCTTATTGTTATTGCTCCTTTTTCTGATCCATGCACAGAATATGATGTAGCACGAACGAGCGAAAATTCTATTTTCACTATTTTCTTTCTGACGTAATACGATTAAATGATAAAGTCACGTTTTTACTTGGGTTAGTAGAATTACAATTATTTTTTATTACTCGCCACGATGTTCATTAACTAAAATTTGCAATAATAAAAGGGACGATAAAGGGCTTTCAAAATACATTGATTAGTGATTTGTCACTGAACAAAATTCGATGAACATTCAAATTTTATTTCGAAAATTTATAATACTGCCGTTTGATAATTCAATAATTCTCTCCTATATATATATACTTTTACAACTAACCTATATACTCTTGCATACTATATAGCATATACTATATATATATATATATAACAATACCTATAGAAACACACACACACACACACACACACACACACACACACACACAAAATAAAATTCGCATTTTAGACAAATTTGCAAAATTTATCATAGAGTATAAGTATAGGCATTTAATTCTAAGGTTATATAATTCACATAACGTTTATTACCAGAATTGTAAATTATATTTAAATATTTATTTCACGTTGTTGAAATTAAACTTTCAGCTGAGACATTAAAAATTAATTTTCTTAAACAATTTGATTTTTTTTTTTATGCATGAATTATGAACTAAAATGTTTACAAGTTCAAATGCTAAAATCATAGAAGAGTTTGCCTTGTGTTCACAACAATTGGTAGAAATTGCCTTAATTTTTCAATTTATTTCCATAAAATACTTCAATGTTACATTAAATATGCTTTTCTTTTAAAATCTTTTCTCCTAAAATTGATATATGTAATTTGTTTATAATGTAATATTAGTTTAATATTCTTATTGTCAGACGACATTATTTAATTAGTACAATTATTTTCTAATCTAATTGTAAAAAAAAAAGAATTTTTATAATTGTGATATTATATTAATTTTATAAAATAATCGTAAGAATTAATGATCGAACCGATTTTATTAATCTTTATATAAAATAGTATTTAATGTACGTTACGAATTTATTTTCACTTCTTCTAAATTCACTTTTTATCAATTGAAATTATGAACAATACAAAGATACAAACAGAATAATCTT